TGCAAAGGGCCTATTCTGTTTGTATCAATATGACGAGCCTCGATGTTGATGTGAACATGCAAGAATATTAGATGATCAACAATCAGCGAACTTATTGCAGAATGGCTCATGTCATGATCAACAATAACACAATAGGTGAATACAACGGGTGAATTGACATGTACATTAATAAACCGTCAGGGTGTTCTTCGAAGCTGAGAACTTATTATCGAGAGCAAAAGATTAGTTATGAACATTTCGACAGTTTCAAATTTTTTTAAAAAGGCTTTAGTTTATTGCCTTTGGATAGAGCGCATTTTTCACAGATTTGAGTTTGATCGGTTCTAATCGGCACTATATGTAATAACTATAGACCAATCATATAACAGATTTATCTAGTTAATTTTTGTATATGGAATTTCGACAGGAAACTTGTGTGAACGAGAAATGTCATGGGAACACGTGGCCATGGCGAGTGTCTCCATGAACCTTTTTCGATCGAACTCTACCAAAACTTGTTTCTAAGAATTAAGTCGACAAAAACGCAGAAAAAAATGCTTGCTATCTTTCATAAAACTGCAAAAAGGAGAAAAAAAACACTCGTTCGCTGCAATTCCCTTAGTTCGCGATCGTGCCATCGTTACGTTATCAGTTGGTGCTGGATCAGTGTTTCCACTGAGTGCGGCTTTTAGCGCGCTTATTCGCACAGGGTGTCTGTCTAATACAATTAAGTTTGCTTATAAACTAGCCAGGTGATTACGGGAACCGTTTCATCCTTGTAGGTGTGAGCATAATGATAAATTAATTGCTAAACGTACTTTCCCTCTCTGTTTGCGCAACGAAACAGCGGGAGCAATTAAAATGTCATGTAATGTTGATCCAGGACTGTATTGGTCTAATATATGCGAGTTCAATGGATTTGGTGTTAACACATAACGCGTTCGCTATGTTTCGTTCTAATTGAACAAGGGCCGGCTTGCCTCTCATTTTTATAACATAGCCTTAGCGAAGCGCGCGTTCTGATTGGCTAATACGCTCGATCCATTTGCCCGTGGGTT